GCCCTCAGCCCCTCTGATATCTGAGAACAAGCTCAAGCAGAAGGGGGTTCATTTTCTGCCAAATCACTTTGCCTTTTAACGCACCGGGCTGGATCAACAGGCTGAGGCCAACTGTATGAGGTTCAACAAAGCCAAGTGCCGGGTCCTGCACTTGGGTCACAGCTACCCCCTGCAGTGCTATGGGCTGGAAAGCTGCCTGGCAGAAAAGGACCTGGGGGTGTTGGTTGACATCTGGCTGAATATGAGCCAGCAGTGTGCCCAGGTGGCCAAGAGGGCTGATGGCATCCTGGCCTGTGTCAGGAGCAGTGTGGCCTGCAGGAGCAGGGCAGTGATCATCCCCTGTACTGGGCCCTGGTGAGGGTGTGCCTTGTCGCACCTTGAATCCTGTGTTCAGTTTTGGGCTCTTCACTGCAAGAGAGACACTGAGGTGCTGGAGCGTGTCCAGAGAAGGGCAACAGAGCTGAGGAAGGGTCTGGAGCACAAGTCCTGTGAGACGCAGCTGAGGGAGCTGGGGTTGGTTAGCCTGGAGGAAAGGAGGCTCAGGGGACACCTCATCACTCTTTTTAAAACTCCCTGAAAGGAGGTTGCAGAGAGGTGGGTGTCAGTCTTTTCCCAAGTGACAGGACATGAGGAAACAGCCTGAAGTTGCACGAGGGGAGGTTTAGATTGGGTATTAGGAAAGATTTCTTCACTGAAAGGGTTATCAAGCACTGGGACAGGCTGCTCCGGGAGGTGGTTGAGTCACCATCATTGAGGTATTCAAGAGACATGTGGACGAGGTGCTTAGGGACATGGTTTAGTGGTGGTATTGGCAGTATTAGGTTAATGGTTGGACTTGATGACCTTAAAGGTCTTTTCCAATCTAGAAGACTATAATTGTATTCTATTTGATGATAACTTGATTATGGGCAAAAGTGTGTGTAAGAAGAATAGTATGCTTTTTGAAAAGTTAACCCACTAGGTTTACAGACCAGTGAAAAGCTTTGCTGAGACAAAGATTTTTGAAGGTTATTATTGCAGCTGGACATAGAAGTCTTTCTACAAACTTGTCTGGCAACCAACATTTACAAAAAAATAACCTTGCCCTACTGCAATCCTGATCAGGTTCTTTAAAAACAAAAAATGGTTTTATTTCCTGTTTCCATACAGGGATGTCAAAGCAGTGCTCTCCTAATCACTGAGTAGTTATCACGACGCCCATGCTATGCAAGTAGGTGAACAGTTAACCACTGGCAGTCTGTGACCTACTATGGCATTTCAGCAATCTGCCTCTGCTTACCAAGACCATCACAAAAACAGAAGCTGAGAAGGGGACGTGAGGGAGCAAAGTCTGGGACAAGAAGCAGATAAAGAAGCCCGTAAGAGCTATGCTCTTTGTGATGGCCTTTGAAGTGCTACAGGAAAGGACAGAGAACGCATCATACAGAACTACAAAGGCATAACCATAGGTACATTCATGTATATAGAAAGGGAGTCCAAGTTCTTTATCACTTAAGGTGGTCAGACTTCGAGCAACCATTTATTGCTCCTCAGAGTATCAGCAGAAACTAAGACATTCATGGAAAAAAAAAAAAAAAAATCAGTCAGTCTAAACAATACCGTAATTTTTATTTCCTTTTTAGGTTGCTATCTCACCAGTTTCTTTATTGCAACCTTGCCTGTAATTAGAGCCACAGAACTCTCAAACTTCCTTTTTGAGTTGCTGAATGAGACAATTCAGCAAGCCAACAGAATTCAGACCTGAAGGCATTGCCGACAGCAACGCTATTATGAATCTTTCTTTACTATTTTCTATAAATCTCTATACTTTGTTTTGAAAAATAAAGCACACATAACAAAACAGAATAATCTTTGCCAGAGCACTTACAGGAAATATAAACCACTCTCTGCTCACCTTGCTGGACTTTTTAAAAGAAGAAATCAACCCTGAAATGCGAGCCAATGTTCTCTGCCAAGTCTACTGTTACATCAACACCACTCTAGAAAACAGTAATACTGAAGGCAGCTAACAGAACTTCATGCATCAGTTACAAAAAACTCCTTTCCTGAGGAGGTGGCAATGCCATGAAAAGATTTCGTACAGCACTGTCTGTAAAACCACAATGCATCCAATAAAGTATTACAGCAACAGCAATGTACAAAAGAGCCAAGGCAAGTTGCCAATAAACTTGCCAAGTAAGTTTCTGCCAAAAGACCATTCCGAATGAAGTTATATAGAAAACCAGATAATTAAAGATAAAAAAAAATGTAGTTGTTATTGAATCTTAACATAAAACGCTCCAGTATATGCAGTTTTCTTGTGGAAATGTCAAAATTGCCTTTTAATCAACCTAACCAGGTCTAGATTAAAAAAAAAAAATTAAAAAAAAAGGAGCTCCAGGTTCTTCAACTGCTTAAGGCTCTGTGATAGCCTTACTCACGTTTACATCTAGCAGCATGAATTCCACAGAGCTTTACAGCACATTCTTGGTTTCCACGGTAATTTGTAGTAGAATCTCATAAACACTGAGCTTCCACAGCGAAAAATAAAGAAACCCATTCAACCACAGAGAATATACAACAGCTCTGAATACTACAGTATTTCAGAACCCTAGTAAGAAACTAATTCTCTATTAATTCACCTTGAATTCAGTGACTGACTTGTATTCATTTGCTGCAATTTTTTCCTTCATCGTACCAAAATCCATGGGGTGCTTTATTATCATGGAATATCCAGGAGCAATGGCATCCGTGACCGGAAAAGCAAAAAACCCATGAGGATCTTTCCTAAAAACAGAAAAAGTGCATTTAGATTTCTATCAGCAAGCCAAATGATCATTGTTTTTATGCCACATTAACAGTATAAAAAGAACAGTACTACTTAAAAAGGAAAAACACTAAAAGCACTCTCATAAAACAGAAGCATATTTGAAAAATTTCCTGATACAGGAGAGAATTTCGATTACACATACGGAGACTTTTTGAAAGAGATTTAGCTAGCTCTCGAATTAATTATTTCTTGTATGCTTTCTGTCTCTATTCCCACTCTAAATGGGTCTTTGAGCTTCACTGAGTAATAACCTTTTCAATTCTTGTTCACGAGGCCCTCTAAAAGTAACTACAGTCTTTATCCAAATTCAGCTTATTGCTATGTAATAAAAAAGGAAAATCAAATATTTGGTTTGTTGGTTCTGTGGTTTTTCTGTCTGTGTGTTTGTTAAACATGAGGTACAGAGTTAACACATTATGGAAAACAATAAAAAGCCTCTCCCAATTAAGAGGGTTATCTAGTAAGCAGGTATGAACTTTCTTTGTGTCTGACAAGAGAACATAGAATAAACCAAAATTTCATGACAACAGTTCCATCTTCTAAACTATCAAAATTCGTAACTGTTTTTTTAAATTTCTAAACTAAGTTGTTAATATTTAACGACTTTATAACGGCAGCATATCCCCTGCCCAAAACACTTCCCCACCAAAGGCTAGAATTGCGTCGTTGCTAATAATTTTCCCCACCTAATCTTTAAAATCTCTCAGGTCTGACATGTGTGCAAAGATTACCGACATATCACAGCCAGTCTTTAGGCACTATTTTCCAACAGACAACCAGGAGAAGAAGCTGTGACGTAACACGTGTAAATATGCACCAGACACTGTTGACAGAGCTGTGATGCAATATGCTTCATACCTCTGAAGCTGGCGAAGGAAGTGTTCTAGTAATTGCTGGATCGGCGTGCTTTCATTTTCAGCTGCAGTTTGAGACAGAAACACAGGTAAGTGCGATGAGAGAATGCAGGTATACTTATTTATTGAGAAATATAAATACCAGACAGAAAACCTTAACAGCTTGTACTGATCTGAAGGTCAACAAGACATGGATTTCAGACCAGAAGCACATCAGATTTCTAAGCATACAGTAACTATTTCTTCTTCTGAACTACTTACTGAGTTTTAGTCACATTAAAAACTAGTAGACATTAAATCAGATGTAATGCTAATTCTAGCAGTTGTAAGAAAGTCTATTAATAAAATGAAAGTAAGGTGTTATGTATTTTTATAGGAAAAGAAAAGTGAATCGTCATTGCTCAAATACTGCAGTTGGGAAATCCACATTCTTATAACATGTTATCCATGCCATTTTAATGGTTTCTTCACCATAACATCCATGCAATTAGCTATTCTGACCCTTTTCAATCAAAAAGAAGAGTAACAAATAGATACAGATTTGCTGGCAAGAGAGGTACTGATTATGCTTTCGCTTCCTGTACAGACCAAACAATAAACACTACCCATTAATTACCTGTTCCATGCACATACTTCAGAGAGACTGGCTTTAATGTGGTTTGAAAAACTAAAGCAGCAGCATGCTGAAATCTGGAGTAAAACTCTGACTCTTCGCCATGATAATGGAGAGACATTTCCCTTCCTGACCAAAACAGGCAAGATAATTTATGTGCTTTCCAACGACGTTTTCCAAGCAGATGAAAATAGAAGTCTTGTCAATACAGACACCAGTTTTCAGCTTGTCAGTTTTTCAAGGCTCCAGACTACACAGAGACATACAGCTTTGACGAGAAAATTTCAGTTACCCCTACTGGGTCACCTTGACAAGTTGATGGACACCACTCCTCAACTTAAATGTGTAGTCACAATGAGAAAACTCCTCAATAAATTACTTGGCCAGTCAACAGGCAGTGTTTCAACAAGACTCGTAACATTCCTAAGAACTCGTAACATTCCCAAAAGACCCAGCTTTTTGCTACTAAGTTCCATTTCCAGGCATATGCATATTGAGATCATGATGTAGTTGAAAATTCTTTAAAGTAAAATGTTCCACTGGATTATGCTGAGTTTTAACTCTCCACGATGGCTGCAGGTACAGAAAGCATAGCAAAATCTGACGGGAGAGGATTAAACATTCAGAAGTTGCCACACACGACTGATGAATTCTCAACACCAGCCAGAACAAAAGATTGGTAAATGAAAACTGGGGGGACTATGGTTTTCAAAAGACACCCTATCACAACTTACTGCCACTCTTTTGACGAAAATTGAGATATTACAATTAAAACTCCACACAGGCTATAACAACAGCTAAGCAGTCTCCACAAGATTTTTTTCCCTTGAACTCGCAAAACCAGTTCCAGACATTCTGACCATATTCTGTAAATATTGAGCAAACCCTGAGGATAAAGAATTAGGCACAATAACACTTTTATACTAGCTTCATTCTGACAAGTAACAGGACCCAGAGACAGATGTCCTTGGCAAGTTCAGCCACATGAAAACAAACCTACTGAAACCCAAGGCATCAAGAGGAACTTCCGTTTTTTCAGACAGCAGAATGTTCTGAATGTTGGAAAAAATAACGCCTCTACATTTCAGGAAATCCTCGTGGAAATTTTACATTTTGGGACATTTGACAAAAGCTTTGTTGTACACGCTTTTAAAACCACTCAAGGTGATTTAATTTTTCACACTGCTCACCTGGCTGAGTTCTACATGCTCTGACAGGACGATCTGGAGGAGGCTCAACCTCCACTTTCTTCCCAGGATCGAAGTCATCAGTTTCTCCTTCAGTGTCACACTGTTCTTTCTCCCTTTTCCTCTTTTTCTCCTCCTAGCACAGCAGGACGAAGACAGATTTTAGAAGAACATACTTGGAATGTGCAATCTCACATACCAAAAGGTAAGGGACAGTGATTTTTCATTTTGAATACTCTATCTACACCTGAGCCATACTATGTTTTGAACAACAGTGCATATATTTTCAATATCGCTTTTTCAATTTTCTTCTCTGATTAAGACTGATACTGTTCACCTTTTGCTTCTTTGTATTTAACATAGTATTGTTCTATCACGCGTGATGAACTGCGTTCAGTTTTGGGCCCCTCACTACAAGAAAGACATTGAGCTGCTGGAGCTTGTCCAGAGAAGGGCAGCGAAGCTGGGGAAGGGTCTAGAAAGCAAGTCTTATAAGGAGCAGCTGACGGAACTGTTGTTTAGCCTGGAGAAGAGGAGGCTCAGGGGAGATCTCAATTGATCGCTACAGCTACCTGCAGAGAGGTGGGTGTTGGTCTCTTCTCCCAAGTGAAAAGTGATAGGACAAGAAGAAATGGCCTCAAGTTGCACCAGGGAAGGTTAAGATTGGGTATTGGGAAAAGTTTCTACATCAAAAGGGTTGTCAGGCATTGGAATGGGCTCCTCAGGGAAGTGGTGGAGTCACCATCCCTGGAGGGATTTAAAAGAAGTGTGGACAGGGTGCTTAGGGACATGGTTTAGTGGTAGACTTGGCAGTGTTAGGTTAATGGTTGGACTTGAAGACCTTAAAGGTCTTTTCCAATCTACAAGATTCTATGCTCATAAGTTTCTCTACTTTTACTAAAAAGAACGTTAAACTACGAAGCCATTTATATGTAAAATTGCATGATAATAAGCTATACCAAAGAGTAAAGGACATTAAATTACGATTCCATAAAGATCAGTCTGCAGCTCTGCCTTGATCAATGTGTTTTTGCTGTTTGGTGCATTAAACAAGAATCAATAAAGTATGTGATAATTTAGGAAGCCTACAAAAGAACCTAAGAAATAGTCTGTAACCATTCCAGCAATTACAGATCTCTTCCTGAGCTTCCAAGCAAAGGCATGCCTGAATCGTCCTGACAATCTTACAGTCATTTTTCACATTCGCCCAGAAAAGCATACTTGTGTTAATCTTGGTCAGACTACAGTTTTGTTACTTATCTATCCATTAGCTTCTTCTGCATGCATTAATAAAAAAATCCAAACAAAACTCCCCCACAGTTTAGCAAAGGCAAAACAAGTAACTTGACTTGATGTCACAGCAAAATCTTGTATTAAAGACAGTTTTTTCGCTACTTTTCAAGTTCTCGCCATGCTCTTCAGTGAAACATTTGAAAACATTTACACACAGAAAATTTTCCACTATCTGCCCTGGATTCAAGGGCTCCTGAATGATCCTACAAGACATATCACTTTCAAATAATATAAGCCTAAAAAAGAAATCAATTCAAAATCACAGATGTTAGCCATACACACACACATAAAGTAGTACCCAAAAACTATCATAGAACCACAGAACGGTTTGGGTTGGAAGGGCCCTTAAAGCCCATCTAGTCCCAACCCCCCTGCCATGGGCAGGGACCCCTTCCACTAGACCAGGTTGCTCCAACCCTCATTCAGCCTGCCCTTGCACACTTCCAGGGATGGGGCATCCACAGCTTCCCTGGGCAACCTGTGCCAGTGCCTCACCACCCTCTCCGGGGAAAACTTCTTCCTGATATCTAATCTAAACCTCCCCGCTTTCAATTCTATCGTATGAGAAGTGTAAAACTACATGACAGAAAGAGAATTAAAAAAGCAGAGAGGTCAAGGAATCATGAAGGCACAAAAGAAATACTAAAATGAAATTGTACGGGCAACTGTACCACCAACTCCTTGCTGATTTCCATCTCACTCCTAAAGGTTCAGCACAACTGAGGTGAGCACACCATTTCCTACTAACAAAACCTAGCACGCAGGTTATTCTAAACAAGAGCCAACAAGACTACTGTACCACAGCTCAGATTTCAGAAAGCTGTTTTGAGTAAACAGGTCAATTTCAATGTCCAATAATTTGGCCTATCTCAGGAACAGAAACACAATCTAGATTAATTTGAAAAGCTGAAAATACCCTCTTCAAAGGGTAACAAAACCTCTTTCTGATCTGGCTGAAATACAAAACACCCAACGAAAAACCTTAAGTGTTCAGACCTACAGACAAAGGAAATGGATAATAAAAACAAGCAGTCACAAGAAACAAGTTTTCACTTTGTTCAAAAAAATCATCACAGGGATCTCTTTTAAAAGAAGAGACAAATACATGAACACACAGAGTGGTTTTCTACATTTGTGAAGTGCTGTCTCCAAACAGTAAATGTCTTGCAACAGTAATTACAAAAAATAATCGGTTTTTTTTAAATGTTTTGGTACTCTGAGCTAGATTTTAGATCTGATAAGGAAGCACGAAGACGACTGGTGTGTCTGAATGCTAAAAATCACAGCTTACCTTTCTTTTTCTTCTTTCCTCATCGTCTAGATGCTTTTCTTTTTCCTTCTCAGACTTCTTTTTCTTTTTTTTCTTCTTTTCTTTATGTCGTTCTCGCTCATGATCTGATCTGTCATCATAGTAACTGGAATCATGCCCTGACCCAGAGAGTTCAGTCACTTCGCTTCCTCCAACTTTAAGGACCAGCTTTAGAGGTTTTTCCAAAGGCTTATCCACGTAATCTAAATTAAAAGAGTAAAACGTTTCATAAAGGCACACGGCGACGATGGCGCGCAACAAGTACCGATGCTGCTTCTAGAAGTACCGTTGGCAAGAATTTGCTGCGATTTGAAAATACGTGCGATGCGTTTAGAGAGAAAAATAAAATCTAAGACGAGCAAATCCGAGTTAAGGAAGAGGTGGTCAGCACGTTCTGCCTCACGGTTTTCCACAAGCCTGCAATACCGTAGGAACCAACTCCTCGGCTGTCCCCGGAAACACGGCGAGATGCTCGCCGGATGAGGCGAAGCCGGCATCCCGTAACCCGGAATGCCCCGGGCACGGCCGTACGAACCACGAGGGCCT